ATTCACCAGTCCTACACTTAAAGCATGCAAAAGCTGCAGCCCGCCCACCAAAGGCGGTAAGCTGAACATCTACTAATAAACAATCTGAGTAGAATGTCACTTACCAGGTATGAGCACGAGGCAGCTGGTTTGGAGAGCCCCAACTCTCGATGGTGAATTTTTGTGGACCCGCAGAACCCCACAGCTCCACAAAACCATTCATTGGAACTCGCGAAGTTCCCGTCACAAACTGCAGTAATCGACTTCGCAGTTCATTTGTGAAAGTGTACAGCGTCTAAAGGGACAATAAAGCTCATGAAGCGCTCAAAAAAGAAAATTAAGTTGGGTTTTGGAAATCAAACGAGTAGACACATCTCTGAAACCATGTGCGCAGATCCGACGTGAATGAGTCGAATGTGTAGGTTCAAGAACGACGGAGGAATTAAACGCTGAGGGGAAAATGTAAGTACGAGGGTGGATGTAGAGGCAAGCTCACTTCACCAAAATTCACACTACTTATTTGATTATAAGTAGATGAGTTATATGACATATTGGCAGAAATGAAAGCCCACCTTCCAAAAGTTGATGATGACGGGATGGTTGGCGTGGTATTCACCCTTGTATAATGTGTTTGCCTTCCAGTCGTGGACGTTTATGTCCTGCAGACCACACATCAAGAGCTCCAGCTCATTAGCATCAAAGAGTTGGAGGGTTTCCAGAGGAATGATGTCGTTAAAACCTTCAAGGAAAGCACACATCTGATGCTCCACCCTAGAGACGAATCGCCAGTTGATTATGCGTCTGAAGAGGATGCAGAAAACTTAGTCAACCCTAGGCTTCCGGTGGAACACATCACCGACGTCACTCACTCAATATAGTCGCGTTTGTTGGCATTGGTAACGAGGCAGCTGCGCCCATTCGGGATCAGTTCAACCTCTACCGTCTCTCCAAAATGCTCCTCGTCAACAGCGAATGTCAGCTCCAAGTCTTTTGGATCGGCATCCAAGATGTACTTTAAAGAGCGGTAGTACTCCGAGTCCACGGCTTCCATGTCCTTTAAGCCAATCTTTCGACCCAACATCATCTTATAGAAGGGACGGATAAAGAAGCCATCGACCAGTTTCCCATGATAGACAGCCATGCCACATACTCGACCGATAAACTTGAAGTATCGAAGATGATTTTCATTCGCAAGGCCGGAGAGAGGATTTATCTGGAGGGTGTAGTTGTCCCTAGATGGCAAAAAAGGTTATATGATTAACCTACGGCAGTTCCGAGGTTCCCCGATAAAGAAAACAACAAAAACCTACGCAGCGGAGTATTCAAATAGGCCATAGTACGGATTGAACATCTCTCTTGACAGCAAGAAGAACCACTCCCTCTGAACGCCGCCATAGTCCAGCCCCTTTTCGCCCAGAAACTCAATCCACAATCTGAAAGAAGCATGAAGATGTTAAGATGACCCCAAGTTGGACGCTACTACTAATAACCTTAAAAGTAGACTCGATTTCACAGCAAACATTCCTTACCTATGCATGAGCATCTCTGGCTTCTTTACAGAGTAGATCAATCGGAAGGAGTCCTCAAAGATGCCGGATCGCGTGACACGGATCTCAAATTTAGCTGAGAGATCGCGTGGTGCCCGAAGACGCGAGCGGAAGTACTCATATTTCTGTCGGTAGTTACGAGAATAGGGGACAGCGGGTCCGCCCAACCGTTCCAACCTAGGGTCCTCCCATTGTGTTGTGCGGGCGTCTGTTGGTAGGTAAAAGGACGAAAGGGTGAGAATTCGTTCTATCTTCTGTAGACACGTCGCTATCGTGACGATGGGGAACGTACTATGGTTGATGTAGAAAATTCGACCATTGCTGTGAACGCGTTCTTCCCATCCGGGCTAGAAAAGGAAGAATACGTGACCCGACAGATGTGTAGGCATATTTTCCCCTCACAGAGTTGTGACATACAAGTGAATTAAAAAGAAGGCAAGTTATAGGCATCGAATTAACAAGCAGAAAGAAAAATATAAGGAGTAGCGCTCTAACCCACCCAAAGTTAGATATCTTCGAAAGCCTCTACTCTATCTACTTTCATGTCAACGCACAACGTACTGGAAGAGGACCCAGCACCGGCATATCGTGACGTTGAGCTGCCTTTGCCATTACCGACGTGGTCATTAACGACTCTGGCTTTGTAGAAGAGGTATCCCCACTTCGTTTCCGTGGATCTTTCTAAAAATTGAGCCACAATTATTAATGCTAAAACCGCAAATGCTACTGGTACTGAAGTAATTTGTAAGTGCACTACCCAAGTGGTAGTTTGGTCGTTGTGATTGATGAAAAACCGTCGACCACTAGCCGTGACAGCCATCTGCCAACCTCGAGGGAGGGGATCATCATCGGGAGGCACAATCGAGATCGTGTTATCGCTTGCCATCGGACCGTTGGGAGTCCCCATCGTCACCGCCGGCGACGGTGGACTTTCAATGGTGGTGCTTCTGTTCTCAACGGGAGAAACCGTCTCACCACCAGCTGCCAGTGGTAGCATATGCGTAGGTGCAATGCAGACCTCTCGAATAACTATTTGGTAGAACAGTGACCAATAGTAAACTCGAGAAAGCTACATATTTTTGACAGAAAGATCGCTAATTCTAAGTCCTTAAATATGTGGATAGTTTACTGATAAAGTAAATTCACTGCCAGTGTGCGCACAATGTAAATTAGGAAGGACTAAAAGGTAATCGCTCGAGAAAAAGGAGGACAGCTACCAATCAATTAGGGCCTCACCCTCTGACTGCTCACATTCCAAGGGCAGTGCTGACGGTTTTGGAATCTAAAACGTGACAAAGTGATGGTATACTCCACTCCAAGGTGGTTTCCGCCAAGAAAAAAAGCGCAATAAACCTCGAAATCCGTAGCCCGCGCTCCAGTAAGACCAGAAATGGGTGCCGCTTCATCACTTGTTCCCGCGACAACTGGCAGGGACTCCGTCTGAGGTGTTGTATCCTCAGCTCTAACCTGATGCCGTCTAAGATACATTGTCTGTGCGGCTTGCACCTGTTGCTCCGGGGATAAGGCTGGGAAAAAGAATGATCAGCGTAAAAAATACGCTTTCCAACTTCAATATGTGTTAATTATTAATAATTCTTTTACTGTTGTAGTTGAAGTAAGGCTGGCGGCTTTGAGTGTGATGCGAGAGGAGAGTTTGACCACCATGACGAAGGGTTTGTCGAACTTGCTGCGGGTCTTCAATGGCATCTGGATCATCAAAAGAAGCGTCCCCAGGTGTGGAAGTCTGTGGAATGGGACCTACCATAAAAAGAATGCCGTACCAAAAAATTTTCATTGAAAAGGAAAAAACTTCTGCGCCATCTGCTCCCTATTTATTCTAGCGATTGTCGCTTTCCCTTGGCGCAAAAAAGGTAGCGAGTTCGAATACGAGGGAGACGATTGGTAAATAAAGGCATAAAAGAAAAGGGAAGTGATTGGTACCAACAAACGATTGAGTAACACTTCGATTTCTAAACTATGATAACATACAAAACAAAAATGAAGCAACCGCAACAAACCTTCGCTGGGAGGTGCGTTTTCATCCCCATTTCGGGGAACAGTAGCACCAACGCTTTGCCTAGAGGCATTCATCCAACTCTCGTTCTCCTAGACAAAAAAACAGTTACTCACAAGTTGCCAGTAAACAGAATATTTTAAAACGGAAAATAGACAGAAGCAAGACATAGGGAACACCAATAAATTCTCACATGCTTCAACAAATAAGCCGAGAAGAGAGTTTTCTTTGCAGAGTCAAAATTTTTAAACGAATCATGTATTAGGCCCCAGTAAAAGGAATTTTTAGCTGACCTCTCTCCGAAATAACAGTAATCAACCATGGGGACAGCAGAATTACTTCTCCCAACCACCAGTTGGATATCATGCCATCCCAGTGACTTACGGAGAACAGAGGACTATACCAAGTCGTTCTGTGATTGATGTGATCGACGTAGTAGACTCGACCATTCACGTCCGTCCTTTGCTCCCAACCTTCGGGAAGTCGACTCGGATAGAAAAGGACGAAAAACTTGGATTGGAATTTCAATATTAAGGACTCCTGCAAGAACGCCTATGATATCGGCACAAGCTTTCCGGATAAAAGTGATTGCCAGGAAAAAGAATCTTCTCTAGACGTAAAAATGTCAACTAACAGTTCCGATTTAATTCAAAAGGTGGCAGAAAAAAACAATTCAAAGAACAAAATTGACGAGTATTTAGTCAGAGTGTGGCTGACACAACGT